AAGCAGTGGTATCAACGCAGAGTACTGAATGATACGTGAAACAACTTTTGCAATAATGGTAAATACAATGATTGTTATTGTTATTGCAATAATATTCCCAATAGAAACCGGTAACCCTAATGGTTTAATCCCTAAAATACCGGTTGCATTTCCTGTGATAAACTGTTGTTCCCAATCACTAATAAACTGGTCAAAATCCACGTTACTTCAACCCCATATCCATAATTACAACATCTGAATCCATAATCATTTTTATATTACAAAATGAATCGAATTTTCGCTCCGTTAATATATTTTCAACCCGTTTCATTCCCTCTCTAAACGGCTCATCGGTACACTCTACCCGTGCAATTTTACCATTAATTACATCAACCTTTGCACAGGAAACGACACTAGTCTCATCATAATAAAATGAAAGAGAATTCATATAAAGAATTACCCGTGATATTGTTGCCCATGAATCAGATGTATTATTAATTTCTAACCGAAGAAGGAATTCACGATAATTTTTCGTTGGTCGTGGATTTCCACTGATTTCAGATTCAATAAACCGAGTAATTACACCGCGAGTAGATGTTCCATAGAGAGCAAAATGTGGATCTGTAAATCCAAAGACGTCAATTATATTTCTTACATCGTTATTTCCTTTCAGTGAAATTGCGATTTCTAATGGAGCAGTAACAAAAATAACAGTCGATGAATTTGGTTCGAGTTTAATTTCTTTAAATTTTATCTGTAAAAAATCCGTTAATCGAGTGGGGAGATTTATTGGGGGAATCGGCTGAACGGTATATTCTTTATGAGATATTGAAACATCTAGATTGACTTCATTTTTACGAAATCGTCGGTGATAACGCGTAATCCCAGCGACATCTTCAAAGGAGAGAGAAAGAACTCGGTGATCGATTTTTCGTGAAAAAGGATACGTTCCAAATGCAATCGTTTCGCCAGCAGCTGATGTTTTTTGATAATTATGAAAACGATATGGTAATTTTCTTGATACAGCCATATATATTAATATATAAATATATATGGCTAATATAATATATTTTTTCTGTTTTTACCGATCTTGTCCAAGAGCGTAGCTAACTGTTGCAAAATCGCATGGTGATTTGATCTAGTCTCTCCCATGCCTAATATATTGGTTTTTATTAACCATATACATTTAATTTACGTATATGTAGTTAAAGAGAAAGAGTTAATTTTTATCGCGGAGGTACGCGACAAAATCTAGAACCGCTGAGTATTGTTGCGGTAATCCATTACGTACTATCCATGTATCTATGTCATCGGCAAGTTCATGGTCGAGCGGAATAACCCCCAGCTTTCGTAGGTATTCTGCAACCTGACGTTTAGAAGTCCCTTCCATGCCGTAGAGAGTGATTATCTCTGCCGGGAACCTGTTGCAGTTCTGTCTGCAGATTAACATCTAGGAGGGAGTAAGAGGCTGTGCCCTTTGTAAGTTCTTTGATTGGTCTATCATCTGTTATTAATCGTCGTCCCGCCCTGGGAGCCCTCTAAAATCAATCCAATATTTTGGATTTTCATCCAGTATTCCCAGGGCTCCAATATATGCATTAGTGTACCAAAATAAACTATCCTTCTCAAATGTAGATAAGTAATCCTTACCCTCCTCCGTATTTACCCAATCCCTTACAAGTTTGCGGATTATCGGTGCATCTATACCCCTATCATCAAATGAAATAACTTTCGGGATATGGTACCCTTCTCTACCCAGCTCAGAGGTCCATTCAATATTGAAGTTGTATATACACTCCCCCATTTTTAACTCAGGTCTATTTAGATAATCTGATTTCTTTCGATAATATACATATAATCTGGTAATTAATGTACGTTTAATCGGATTTTCTACTACTGGATTTACGGTAATTGTGTTTTTGTCAGTCATAATTTATCCTCTTTTTAGATGGGTGTGAACGTATAATGTGACAACGTGATCGTCATTATGTGTCCCATCATCTGATGTAATGTTGTCAATAATACTATACTAAACGACAAAAATAATTTATGTTTGCACCCCACAAAGTGTCTGTAATTGGGTGTTTGGCATCTCAAAAAACTGAAATGCCTTATCAACGGTATCTTCTAATATCTCCTTCGATGCAAAGAAACGATTGTGTGTGTTTTCCCTCCGTGTAATTCTCCACACTTGCTCGATTGGATTTAAATCTGGTGAGTAGGGGGGTAATAAGAGAAACTTGGCATATTTCCGAATGTCTGCATATTCTTCATTGTTTTCTGTAACAATAAGGCGATAAACTTTCTTGTGCCATGGAGCATTGTCCATTATGATGACATATTTCTTACCTCTTGATGGTCGATGTGCATTAAGAAAAGAACGGAGTGAATTGATAGTTGTGAGGTAGTTGAATATCTCTGGTTTCGCTACAAATAAAACGCCTGTTTTTGGATTAACAAAACCCGAATATGAGATCTGTTGTCTTCCTGGATATGATTTTACGGTTGGTTTGCTACCTTTTTTATACCAGCCAAATGTGATACTTGTCTGTATCTTAAAATGCACTTCATCTTGAAATATGGGAATGAGTTTGGGATCAGATTTTATTGCGTCGAGTTTTTTTTTAAACTCTTGACGTTGCTCAGTGCCCTCAAATCCTTTCGATGGAAAACACCGTGGACGAATGTGAGAAAATCCAAGTTTATGGAACAATCGTTGTGAATTTCGAACACTGTAATCGACACCATATTTATCAATTATCAGTGCTGATAACGTCGGTCCATCCCAAACTTTGAAACCATATGTCTTTGGATCTTCTTGAAGCATAGCGTTGATTTCAGTCAGTTGTTCTTCAGTGAGTTTTTTTGGTCTTCCTAACTTCTCCTTGTTTTTCAGTGATTCAAATCCATTTTCATCAACATTCCTTACCCAATTTGATACAGAAACTGTTGATACATTGGCAGATTGTGCAACCTTTTCAGCAGTCATTCCACTCAGAACCATGTTCACTGAAAATACACGAAAATAATATTTGCTTTCATCAGATGAGGACATAATTTCCTTCCCCTGACGCAATAACTCTTTTGGATCTGTTTTGAACTTTCTATTGTTCATTAATACAATACCTCATATGTATTGCATATTATTATAATTATTCTAAATTAAAATACTTTTGTCGTTCAGTATAATTAACCCACGCGGGCGCAACACCTCCCCCTCATTGGAGTTACTCGACGCAGTCCCAATGTACTTCCCGATTGTTCCGGGAGCGACGTCTTCCGTCAATACAAACCTAATCTTTGGCATCGCCGGATCGCCCCCCGCGTACCGCGCGCGCGCGAATATCTTGGTAGAAACCTCTTTCTTTATTGACCACGACTGGAAAGCTAAATCTGATATCTCATGCCCTATCAGTGCTTTTTTTGCCTCCTCAAGTCCAAGTTTTTTGATTGTATTCAGAAGTGGGGTTGTCGTCGTTTTTCCAGATAACCCGCGATAGATTTTAGGAGCCTGGATTTCTACGGCAGCTCCCGTTTCATCAAAACCACGAATTATGGGGGATATTACCTCTCCTTGCAGCCACGAATCTAAATCGTGGATATTCAATACAATCTCGTCGTAATCCTCCCACCGTTCCACTGCCTCATCGGTTGATATTTTACGGCGGAGTAATTTGTTAATCGGCAAATAATATACGCTCGTGTACTCCTTAACGGCCTTTGTTTGTTCCTTGGCCATTTTTGCCGTCTGTGTTATGTACTTTGGATTTGAATCCTTTGGCGCGATAATTTCTGGGTACGCGATAACTGGCGCATCTACCCGCACGATACCTGCGTATGCCCCTTTATCTGATGGCGCAGGTTCTGTTGTTTTAACTGGGTCAGGATATGTATCCAATTTTGTTGGTGTAGGCAGTTCAGGTTTCTTTGCTGTTGAATCTTTCTAAAAACCCAATTTTTTCACGTACTCTCTCTCTCTCTCTCTCTCTGAAACCATGATTTGGATTACATTTCCAAGGGTTTTGATTTTCAAAAATGGGGTTTTTAGATGTGCTCTGTTGTAGGTGCTGGCGCTGGTGCTGGTGGGGTGTGTGCTTGCACCGGGGATATATTAGCAGCCTCAATCGGTACTGTTTCCGTTGCCGATTCAGTTACGGTTGCACCCTGTTTTACTGCTCTATCAGCAGGCACTAACGTGCATCTGCAGTTGTACTCTCCGAGCCATGGCGCGTCTTCCATCCGGTATATTTTGTTGTTCCGCAACTGATGTTCCGGCCGTACCCGGTCGTCGCCAGCGGTGATGTATCGGACATAATGCACACCGTTCTCCTGCATCATGCGAACCTTGGCATCGGTGCGGAGTTTCTGGGATTTCGTCGTCCAATCCTCCTTTTATTCGATGGACAGCCATTTTTCATGGGGGAAAGATGATTGAGGACATGATTGACTTGTCCCGAAAATTCCCTAGAATCCACTAAAATTAAATATAGGTAAGTACGTGCTCGTCAGCGTCCACTGTTTCAGTTTACGATGCTTTGTTGTTTCACCTATATCCCGCTAGGGCTTTTTTTGCCGAGTCGTTTTGTAGGGAGGTAAGATGCAAACTCTGTGCTGTAATTACATCTAATTTAGTGCTGAGTGAACGTTGATCTTTTCTGTACTTCTTGACATTGCACTTTAAAACTGCCTTCAGTTGTGAATGCATATCTTCATATCGTTCTCGTTTCTTCAGTTCCGTTTTGATATCTTGACCATTCTGCAGATTCTGATTTCTAAGATATCTTTCGACGATTTCCTTATATCGGCGCTGAAAATGGTTAAAACATATAATAAATAAGGATGGGAAACAGAATAAGATACCCCAATGTCATGATGAGAAACATCCATTCAAACCGGTTAATAGGTTTTGGAGCAAAATAAATCGCTGATTCATCTTGGACATACCCCCTGCAGCACATTGCTGTGTACGTTCGTTCACCCTGTTCAAGTGATCTGACAAATACGGTTCCTGCCCCATTTCCAATCGTTTGCAAACGATATTTTAGCGGGAGGCCGCGACCCCACCGAAGAAAACCGCGGCATGAATAAGCAAGAATAATTTTCTGAAACATTTCGGCAAAGACGTAAAGATACCTAATCGTAAGCGTCAATGCAGTTATAAATATAACCGGAATATGCATACGTGCCGCTCCATTAACCAAATCCTGAGAAGAAGTTGTTGCAGAAAGAAGAATAATAAAAGAAACAGATATAATGAGTTTTGCAAGAAGAGATAAAGCAAACAAGAGTGATTCACAGTATACGGAAAGTGGACCGATGGTAAAGAAGATATGATAAACATCATAATAGGGATTAAAGAAAAATGGCTGAAAGATAACAACAAAAATTCCAAAAGGAAGAATCAGACACAGCCGAGTCAAATAATATTTTATCGATGCTTTTGAAAGGAAGTAGAGCATAAGACAAAGAAGATAAATTACAATAAGTGAAATCCACATATTCCAGGGAATCATGTCCCCATCATGTAATGAATAGGGTACAAAAACCGCAACAAGCAAACCACACAGACAGAATATCAACTTAATCCGTGCATCAAGAGCATGAACTATACTGTCTTTTCCCGCTTCCCGTTCAATACTAAACAATTCATCAATAAGGCTCATTTATTCATCCGTGTGATAATGGGGGTGACATGCAAATCCACTGTGGATATCAACATTTGAACAGTTTTTCTGATGAATCTGCGGCTGTTTCCCAAATGCTTTCAAAATTGAATCTTCAATATCTACATACCGTGTTGAATGAGTGATTTCAATTCCTGAACGACGAATGGTATTGGTCAATTTAAGAAGAGGAGGTAACTCTAACCGTGCTCGTTTTATAAGATCTTCATTCATAAATATTTCATCAGGGGTTCCCTCTCCGGTAATTTTACCTTTCTCCATTACATAGACACGATCTGCAGTTTCGGGAACAAGTTCAACCTGATGTGTTGAATAGATAACTGTACATCCAAGTGTTTCAGGTAATGTATTGAGAAATTCAAATAGTTCTTTCACCCCGGCAGGATCAAGACCTGCCGTCGGCTCATCAAGAATAAGAACCTCAGGATGCATCGCAAGAATCCCGGCAATCGCAACCCGTTTTTTCTCTCCCCCTGACAAATGATGAGGAACTCTGTTTCGGAGATCTTCAAGTGCAAGCATATGGATAACTGAATCTACACGCTGTGCAACATCCTCTGAAGATAATCCTAAATTATTTGGTCCAAAGGCAATGTCCTGTTCAACCGTTGATGAAAAAATCTGATCATCCGCATTTTGAAACACCAAACCGACTTTTCTCCGAATCGCGGCCAGATTTTTTTTGGTAATTGGTTCTCCATCAATTAAAATCGTCCCAGACGTCGGCTGGAGGATTCCATTGAAATGTTTAAACAGAGTGCTTTTTCCCGCACCGTTCGGACCAAGAATCGCTATCCGTTCATGATCATTCGCAGTAAATGAAATTCCGTCAAGAGCCTGATACCCGGCATGTGCATACGAATAGCAGAGATTTTCCGTCTGAATACGAACCATAATGTAATAATCTTTATTGTTCTTTCAATAATTAAAATATTACGGATGTTTATTTTAAGCAATTAAAATAACACGAAAATAAATAATGTAACACTAATTATATATAATCTTTAAAATAATAGAAATATAGTGAAATCTCTATGCACATTCCAGATTTTATCTTTGGCTATGCTCCCTGGGGTATAGGAATTGGTATTGCAGCCTGTATTGTCGCGGTTATTCTTCTAACCCTTTCTATTAACTGGGCACGAAAAAATCTCAATGGTTCAAAACTGATAATTCTGGCAGTTATTGCCGCAGGAATTTTTGCTCTTCAGGCTTTTAATCTTCCCACCGGATTTGGAGTTTCCGGTCATCTTGTAGGGGGAGCACTTGCCGCTATCATTTTCGGATCACCTTATGCCGCCATCTTTGTCCTGTCAATTGTATTAATTATTCAGGCATTAATTTTCGGTGATGGAGGGGTACTTGCGCTCGGATTCAATATTATTAATATGGGAGCAATTGCCGGATGTATTGGATATTATTCATATCGTCTTGCAGCAAAAAAGATGCCAAAACCGGTATCTGCTGGAATTGCCGGGTGGCTTGCCTGTGTAATTTCCGCATGTTGCTGTGCGCTTGAACTTGCACTTGTTGGTGCCGTTCCACTTACCGTTGGATTACCAACAATGGCAATTTACCATGCCATAATTGGCGTCATTGAAGGTATAATTACTTCCATAATCATCGCACTTATATTTAAGGTTCGTCCAGAATTAACTGGAAACAACGAAAAACAGCCAGTATCAATGCGGAAATTCCTTGCGGTCGGTTTAACGATTGCCATAGTTATTGCCGTCGGAGCCGTCTTTTTTGCATCGACAAATCCCGATGGACTTGATAGTACATTTATGGTAAGTGAAGGACAAAAACAGATATTTTCACCAGCGACTGGAGATGAAATCATCGGCGAAACCTATGATCCAATTCAGTGGAATGCACCGTTTACAGACTACTCACTTGGAGAAAATACACCTGCGGTTTCCGGCATTCTCATATTGATTCTCGGCATTGTCGTTGCACTTGGTTCCGTCATTGGAATTGCTATTGCGGCATCAAAATCAAGAAAACCGTAACTGGTTTCACAAACAATATTAATTAACAAGATAACAATATTTTTTTTATTTTTTCTTTCAAATTTCGATGATTTCTTATTTGATATGAGGAGATATTTATTTCCAATATTGATGTGTCTGAACAAACTGTCGTTCGGCTTTGAGAATTTCACGGTAAAAATTATCATCCTTGGCAAAGGTATTGAGAATCCGTGCAGCAGTATCTGGTCCGATTCCTCGTCCTGATAATGCGATAATGGCATTCTTTCCGCATGATAACACCAGATTCGCATTTTTCATCATTCGTTTACGATTATCGTCCTCTTCCTTGGTAAGCTTTGTTTTTTTCAATGCAAGAAACTGCGATTCTTCATACGGTTTAAGAACTGCAATCAGTTTAGCATTGCAAATGGGACATATCGGAGATTCTGATACCTGTCCTGTTTTTGTTCGGGAATGCCATTTTTTACAGTGCATACAGGCAAGAACAATATCGGTTTCATTAATCCGATGTTTTACGGACTCGATAATTGCCTGATCTTCACCAGGGGGAGTTACCATATCCCGTTCCGAAAACAGTCCTTCCGCCCCAATAATCGATAATCTACTGCACCGTGTTTCCATTTCATGAGATATTAAACGACGAACTATCTCTTTTGCACCTTCTGAATCCATACTGGAAAAGAACAGTTCCCGAAATGCTTCATTTTCGATGACTGTTCCGTCAAAAAGGTCTAGAAGACGATTCATACTGATTTTTTCATAATCCGCATCTGAATCAATTGCACCAAACTTCTTTGCAACCTGAACCAATCGCCATTTATACAAAGATGTTTTTTTCAGCGCAAGCTTGAGAATCCCATCAATATGTTCCGGAAGAAGAGATAACAGTGTCTCTTCAACGTCTTCCGCCCCGAGATTCGAGGGAAGACGTAAAAATATATGATAGGCATTTGTTTCGATACCTATCGTCGAACCATATCGGGCAGAAAGTAAAATTGAGAGAATGCGACCCAATGTTTCATTAACTTTATGTCCGGCACAAAGATTGATAACAACTCCTTCATCCGCATCCTCCAAAACAATGAGTTTATCTGTCGCCGTTACCGTTCGATTCTTTTTCATTTCGGAAAGAATTTTTTTTGCAAAGTCAATTGAAGCCGTATCTGCGCAATAATTTGAAAAATCTTCTTCCCTCCGTAATTTTCCAACTTCCATCGCAACCGAAAACGGTACCGGAATCTGCTCTCCTTCCCATGTAGGTAATTCTCCTTTTGCATTTTTCGCCGGTTCACAAAGAATCATCATTTCCTCTATTTCAAGAACTCGCCAAACCTGTCCGCGGGCTACAAAAACTGCTCCTTGACTTATCCAGCTGATAACAAATGATTCATCTAATGTACCTACCGGTTTTCTCGTAACAACATCAACCACCCGATATTTTTTTTCATCGGCAATCATAGACAGATTTGTCATCAGATACTTGCGTGCGCGTGTTTTTGTAATGACTTTTCCTGCATCTGTTCGAATAAGATAATGTTTTTCCATCTGATTGATAACATCGTCAATTAACGCATCTGCATCCGAAAAACAGGCAGATTCTGCAAATATATCTTTAATATCATCAATTTCAATTTCACCTCGTTCAACGGCAAGTGCGGCAATCTGATTCGCCACGACATCGGCGGCATTAAGCGGTAACCGAACATTTTCAGCTTGACCGGCAAGAGCCAGACGAACAATTACCATTGATTCAAGAATATCATCGAATCCGCCGGCAAGAATAATCCCATTTGATGTTGAATGAATCTGATGTCCTGCACGTCCAGTCCGCTGCATCAGACGTGCAACTTCACGTGGAGAATTAAACTGAACGACATAATCAATCTGTCCAATATCTATTCCCAGTTCCATGGAACTGGTACATACCATCCCTTTCGTTTGTCCGTCCCGAAACCTAGTTTCAGCATCAACTCTGACTTCTTTTGACAGGGAACCGTGATGAACATCAATATCATTTCGTCCGGTACTTTTAAGAGCATTACCGATTGCCTCTGCAATACTGCGAGTATTGGTAAATATCAGTGTTGATATATGGCAATTTATACATTTTTCAATAAGTTTAACCTGATTCTGAAAACTATCTCCAGCAAATTTAACCGATATATCAAGTGTTTTTGAAATCGGAACCTGAACAATTTTACAAGGTTTTGAACCACACAGAAATGTACCAACGAGTTCCGGATTTCCGACCGTAGCTGAGATGCCAATTCGCTGAAATTCACCCGCCATCTGTTTAATACGTTCTAATGCAATTGAAAGCTGGGCTCCGCGTTTGCTTCCGGCAAGTTCATGAATTTCATCAACAATGACATACTGTACTCCACTAAGATGCTGACGCAGAACTTTTCCCATCATCATTGCCTGCAGACTTTCCGGTGTCGTTATCAGCAAATCCGGCGGATGAACCGTCTGGCTGCGACGTTCAGATGCGGGGGTATCTCCATGACGAACCGCGATGGTAAGACCGAGTTCATTCCCCCACCAGACAAGCCGATTCATCATATCTCGATTAAGTGATCGAAGCGGGGTTATATACAGCGCGGTAAATCCCTTGCGTTTTTCATGACTTAGTATATTATGAAATACCGGCAGCAATGCACTTTCAGTTTTTCCAGTTCCAGTTGGTGCAATGAGAATTGCATTTTTCCCTGTAATAAGTTCGGGAACTGCACGAAGTTGAATTTCAGAGAATGCATCAAACCCGCGTTTATTAAGAGCATCACGCAGTTTTGGATGAAGGCTCTTACTGATATCATTCATTGCTGAAAAACTGTCAGATTCCGTCATATATTGTCTCCATTTGGATCTGGTCTCAACTCGGTGAATCGACCCATATATGTTCCATCTTTAAGAAAGATTTCCGCGGTTTCCGGTAAAATTGCCCCGGCAATAGGAGACATCGTATTTCCAGGGATAATACGAACATCCATACCTCCGGCAAATTCATAAAATGCCGGCATAAGAAGAACTCGTGTTGGTGTATTGTAGACAGTACTGGTCCATTTTTGAATACTTATTTCTGATAATAGATATCCGGGAGTTCCACGAAGAGAACAGCCAACTTCATCATAGATATTTACTATCGGATGATGATGACCACAGATGATTAAATGACCAAATAATGATTCATCTGGAATCATATGTCCATGAAAATAACCCGTATCATCGAGAATGGCACCGGACATAGGAAGTAATTCATCCTCCTCAAGATATTCGGCAAGTCCAGTGTCATGATTTCCAGGAGCCAATCGAAACTCTGTTCTATCGCGAATTTCCTTCAGTACCTTTGGCATCTCAACTTTTTCCTGATGAGTAACATAGGGAATCATATGTTTCAAATCGCCAAGAACAACCAAGTAATCGGGCAAACTCTTATCAATGAGTGAAAGTAATCGATTCAGACGCTGATTCGTCTGACTCTGAAAATGTAAACCATGACGATGTAAATCAGCTTCTACTCCAAAATGCGGATCAGCAATAACCAGTATTTTTTCTTTGCGTTCAATGAGAACAGCAGGCCCCTCTGAATAAAATACCGGCTCCATTTCAAAGTACTTTTAGATAATTGAATTTTGGTGCGTAAATATCTCCATTTTCCATAAGAAGTGATATTCGATCTTTTGCTTCATTGGGAGTTAATCCTTTAGCAATTAATGCATCAAGAACTTGCTGTTTCGGTGCAGATTTTCCCTCATAAAGAGAAACTATCATAGTCAGTATCTCTTCATCCTTAAGAGAAGCGGAAGCCATAGATGGCATGGGAATGTTTGGAGATACCGTATCGAGTGCATCAGCAATTTTATTCCGGAATTCATCCTTAAGCGTCTGATTATCCGAAATATTGATGCGTGATAGAGCCGATGCCACAGTTGCACAAATCCAACTGTTTCGTGTTTCTTTTGATATCGATACGACACTTTCAGCAAAAATCACCGGCATTTCCTGTTTCAATTGCGATATTCTCAGTTTTCCTAAAATATAGATAAAACACGGAGGTTCTAGATTGGCAACGGACATTTGCATTCCAACATCATGATTATCAATATGAATTAGACAAATCCCGGTAGGATCACTCACACGAAGCGAGTTCACAACGCCATTATCAATGTTTATTTCCGTCAGTGTTCCGCACAGTGCTATCGGGCCATCAAAAATTCCAAACGGAGATGAAAATGGAGAATACGTAAACCGTTTACCATTTACCGGAATACCAGATACAAGTCCCAATTCCCATGAAAAAATCGGATGAGCCGATGCGATATTTGGAACTGGTAAAGACGGAGACATAAATTAATATATCATTTGGTTTTTCGCGATTAATAGATTATTGTATTCTGACGAGATAAAAAAAATGAATATAGGCAAGATTAGTAGAGAAAACCACGAAGAACTGCTGAAAGAAACATAAGGACAAGAATACCCCAGGACAAGGTATCAGCAATTCGTAACAGTTTTTTCGGTGCAAGTTTTTTCCGTTTTCCGTAATCAACAAGAAGCATACTTGCAACAAGAAAAACAAGAACCGGTAAGAGAAGAATGAATGGATGTACCGGAATCGGTGTCGGCCAATATGGCTGAGACAAATAAATTACATATGCAATGAGCGAGATTATCATAAATATAATCGCAAGAACAGCAATTCCCTTTTTTGGAGATGATATCAACTCAGTATCTGCCATTGTCTATAATTATTCATACAAAACATAATAAACCTGTTTGGAAAAAATGAAAAGATGGTGTTCCTATTACTGTTTACTGGTAATTGAAACGGATAAGAGATATTGCCCCAGTATCTTTTTTCCGTTCGCATTACCCTTTTAGAGTTCAAAAATAAGAAGGAAACAAATCTTAATAATCTTATTCTTGAGTTAGAATGAAAATTCAACCTGATTTGATTGAAATTTGCTGCAATAATTATCCATACATAAAGTCCTGACAAAGAACATCTTCAACATATTCGGTAATTCGTAAATTTTGTGAAATATATCCAGAATATTTGCCATGATAGACTTCTTCGTTGGGATCAACAAGCATATATGGATTGCATGGATTCTCCCGTAAATTCTGAAGTTCCTGTTCTAATAATTGAGAGGATAATGGTGAATTTACGGCAATATAATATGTTCCGGAATAAATAAGAGATAACTGATATTTGGAACCGATGACAAACCGAAGTTCACGCGATAATGTATTCATTTCTTGTGTGCCAATCCAGGGAAGAATAAAATGCACACCATTCTGCGTAAATACCAGTGATGTTCCGATTTTATACTTCTTTGCCAGCATCCGTGCCGATTTGAGGCGATTTCGTGCGGATGCATCCAAATACGGATAATCTTCGGAAGAAGTCAATATTTCACGCATTTTTTTGATGATTGCAGTATGAATCGGAATCCCCGCGCCATGCCATTTCGTAATCTTTCCAACATTATCAGCGGGAACAACATCGATAACCTTTTTCGCTTCATCAATATGCACAACTTTCCACGATTTACCCCCCAATGCCAAATATCCAGAAGCGGTCGAAAAATTTTCAACCATCCCTATTTCTTTAGTTCCGATACGAACATGATAAACAGGCTTTTCATCAAATATCGCAAGAAAACTATAATGATTTACAGCCTTCTCATTTGAAAGTCCAACAATAAGCAGATTATCACTCGTTCGTTCAAGATGTCCGATTTCAAGTAAATGCAGGAGAAACTCTTTGAGTTCCTGTTTGGTAATTCCTGAAAATGATGGCATTGCAAGAAGTTCTTCCGCTAATTTACCGGATTTCATTCCACCAGAACAATAAAGAATGCTCATTGTCTGCTGATAGAGCAAACTGAACGGCTTTTTTGGCGTACTAAACGGTTCAATCCATCCGGATGTACGATAGAGTTCAATTATTGCAATCAGTTTAAGAAGTTCCCATGGCATTCTTGCTGGAATTGATGCATCGTCTCCAACATCATCTTCATACGAAAAAAATTGCATGATTGTTGCTTTTCCCCGTCTTCCTGAACGGCCTAATCGCTGAACATAACTGGAACAAGCATTTGGAGAACCAATCTGAAGTACCTGATCCAAATCTCCAATATCAATCCCCAATTCAAGTGTTGTCGTCGCTATAGCAACCGTTTTTTTATTCACATCTTTGAGTGAAGATTCCGCTTCCCGTCGCAAAACAGCCGATAAACTTGAATGATGAGCCTGAAAAACAGAAGCATTTTCTCCATTGTTTTCAGCAATTTGTTTCATCTCACGTGTTACCAGTTCCACACATTTCCGACTGTTCGCAAAAATAATGGCATTTGTACCATATGATGCACGATAAATCTGATGATAAAAAGCATATTTTTGATCTGCAGCATCTTCCTCATCAAAATGATGATAATGAACACGTAATATCCGTTCAGGGGAGGAGGTTGAACGGGCTAAACTCACTTCAGTTTCCGTACCTTCCTTTAACCATTGTTTCGCATCCTGATACGCACTTAATGTTGCCGAAAGTCCTACACGACGTGGATTACAGCCGGCAAGATTATTCAGACGTTTCAACAGACAGAGAACCTGTAATCCCCGTTCCTGACCCATAAAAGTATGAACTTCATCAATGATTACAAACCGCAAATCAGAAAACAATCGCTTAATTGCTTCAGGATAATGCATAATCAGCGATTCAAGTGATTCTGGCGTTATTTGCATCACTCCTGATGGATGTTTCATTGCCTGCTTTTTTTCAGAAGACGAAACCTCACTATGCCAATGCCAAAGAGGGATACCGGAATTCTGAAGCAATCCTTCCAACCGTTCAAACTGATCATTAATCAGTGCTTTTAAGGGGCCGATATAGAGAATACCAATGGATGAAGACGGATTTCTTTCAAGTTCCGTTAAAATAGGAAAAAAAGCAGCTTCGGTTTTCCCACTTGCCGTTCCGGAAGATATCAGTAGATGATATGGAGATTTTAAAATTACCTTGATAGCACGAATCTGAATATCACGCAACTCCTGCCATCCATGATTATAAATATATTTTTGAATAAAAGGAGAGAGAAGAGAATATTCGTCATTCATTACTCATCAAGCAGAAAATCTTCTGAAATTTCTTTAAGTGGATTTCCGACATTCTCTTTCATAACGGTCTCAAAATCTCCATCCGGATTATGATACAAAAGACCTAAAATATTCATGAAATTACGGGTGACTTCACGGGCTGTTAAATTATCATCGGCACCAACACGATTTACCGTTTCTTGTAAAAGTTTTTCAAGATTATCATCCGTAATTCGTGGGGTATAATTATATCTTATCCCATGAACTTCCCGCAATTTCTGCATCAGAACAAAAATTTCTTCATGAGAAAGTACTTTTAATGGCATTAATGGTGCATCCCAATTACGCATACCATTACGTTCCGCATACTTTCCATCTTCTAATCGTGTACGCAATGCATTATAACTAAAAAGACCCCGACGTTCATCCTTGATGAACTCATTTGTTGCACCAACCAAAATTGACAGATGTGATGCATGTCCCTGCAAAGTATCATTGAATATCGCAAGAAGTGATTCGTAATTTGCATTTCTTCCCATGACTGACGCAATATTAGCTAACGTCTTTGCTTCATCGAAGAAAACAACAAGACCGGAATATCCAATCGATGAAACAAATTCCGCCCAGATTTTAATAAAATTATACCAATTATCATCCTGGATGATATTGCTTACCCCAATCTCAGATTTTGCATCACGTTTACCGTCATATTCTCCTCGGAACCAACGAGCGGCATTTCGACAATCTTCTTCTTTTCCATTCATCATCCCGTTCCAGTACAATTCCATAACTTTAATAAAATCATACTCATAAACCATCGATTGCATACGCAATACTGCATCATTAATAAGAGAATTAACCTTTTTCTGCAGCATTGTATCAGTTAATTTTTCTGTATTCTCCACCTCATTTCGTAGATTACTAAGCCACCGTGAAAGAACCAAATCAAGTGCTCCTCCTAATGGTTTACTTTTAACTGCCATATTTGCCATTAAGGTTCGATATGTAGCAAGACCTCTATTCCCTGTCCCACGCAAACGTTTATCGGGCCCCAAATCAACATCCATAACAACAAAATTCTTTTCAAGGGCATAATTACGAATTGCCTGTAGCATAAAACTTTTTCCGGATCCGTATTCCCCAACTATAAATTTAAATGAACCACCACCAGATTTCGCCTGTTCCAAATCATGCAAAAGAACACTGATTTCCTTTTCTCTTCCCACAGTAATATATTCTAACCCGCGACGTGGGGTAGTTCCTGCATTTAAGGCATTTACTAATGACTCTGCTACTTTCGATGGAATATTATGAGATGCCATAATAATAATAATTTTATTTATATTTGTGTATATATGAATATTCTCAAGTGAACGGTGTTCAAGTGCGAGATGAGGCTATAATCAGAATATCTAGTGTAAATCTAAGCTCAGTAGTTCTCTATTTTTTTTTTTGCGCCCAGCGGGCTGTAAACAGTCGATTCGATACCTTTATATACTTTGCAGAAAATCCCTATATGGGCATTATATCCGAAACAAACCAAAAAATAGACTTGAATTGTCTAAGCTGTAGGAAGATACTACCTAAAGTATCAACCAGTATTGCGCATCAACTACCTTTTATGAAAAATGAGAAAAAGAACAACCTAAATTCCGCAAATACTCACCTATGAGTCGAGTTTGATCTCGAATATTTTCATAATCTGTTTTTGTTGTGCTGTCAATTCTCCATATTCTATTTTTGATTTGTTAGGATATTTTATCATGTTCAATGATTTCATTTCCCACATGATATCAGGTATGCTATACTCCTTTTCTAATTCTTTATTTACAAGGATATTCTTAATTTCAGATTTAATTATGAGCCCTATGAATTGAATGAATAACCTACCCTCCATTGCCTCTTTTGAATGAATTCTAAGTCTTTTTCCATCAAGATCATTTTCCAAATTGTCAAATGTTTTTTCAACAGTATCTTTTTCACGATATGCTTTCAATGCATCAATTGGTGATTTTAAATCATTTGTCAACAATACAAAAAACCCAGCTGTAGTTTTGTTATCTGCATCAATTACATCAGATTTAGGTTTCACTTGCAATCCCCGAACCGGTGTTTCTTTTATCGTGAAGTATTTTTGATACTGTTTTTCATGTGCTATCAGTTTTTTCACCAGACTCTAACTCTTTTTTGTATTGGTGGATATCACGCATAAAGTCATCTTCATCTTCTGCAGATGCAGTGCTATT